ACAGCCCAGGATCTCTGTCATTGTTTTTATATTACCACTGCTGATGCAAAACTCCTTTTGAAGTTGAAAGTTCTAAAACTCTCAAATACCCATAAAATATTTCTAAGCTCTTCAATGCAGCAAAGTGCTAGTTAATCATTTTTAATCCTGTATTTCTCCAAGCATATTGTCATCACTTTATATATATCAGAGGTTCCCATTTAATAGAATACCAAGTCTGCAAACTTTGTGTTTTGTTTGCTTGTTTGTTTTTTAATGCAATACAACTGTTTTGGTTAGCTCCTGACACGATAAATAATAGTGGTTCCCAACCTTTGGCCCTCCAAGTGTTTTGGTCTTCAGTTCCCACAATTACTAACAGCTGGTAAACTGGCTGGGATTTCTGGGAGTTGAAGTCTGAAACGACTGGAGGAATAAAGGTTAGGAACCACTGCTATATATAGTGGGCCTTGGTATCAGCTGGTGTTTGTTTCCTGGCTTCCGTTGGATACCAAAATCAAGGATGTCAAAGTCCCATTATATACAATGGGACGTGTTTATTGGAATTTTAAAAAAAACATTTTCAAGCAATGGTTGATTGAAATCCATGGCTACAGAATATTAGCTCTGTTTCTGGGTATATTTGATTCCAAAAATGGCATCCGTTTTCACTGATCAGCTCTAGTTTCTGAGATACAGAACACATGCCATATACTTGTCATCATCTGCTCACCCATTGGAAATCATTATAACTGTCCTAGATAGCTCTGATAAACAAGGACAAAGGATTGTTAGAAGAGCCAGTGTTGGGATTGGAGATCAGCAACCCCATCCCACAGTTGATCTTAGTCAGTGCAGAAGAAGAGCCTTCAACAGAAGCTACCACTTCCCATCAGGGAGGGCTGAGGAAGGATTAAGTGCGCTGTCCCTTTTTTAATTGAGATGGGAGTGTACTGCTAGTCACAAGTCTGTGCGATTAGCACAGAGAAGAGCCCTTCACAAGCAAAACTTGAGAATACAGAATAAAAAGTTCTCAAATTTGCAGTCCTGCAGCTGGAGGCAGCATCTCGATTCATGGTGAAACTCTGGACTGTATCTTGACTTTGTTTGGATTTTGCCCTCAACTTTAGACTCTGTTATCTTTGACCTGACCGGCTTTGTTGAATCTGGAACACTTCCAATGTAACCATGGTATTTGGACTTGGAATTCAGACCTTGTATTGCTTTCAATAAGCCCCAAGGACTTAGCTTTGGACTGTTAATGGTATATTCACAACTTGGTTAGTAAATTGTGTTATAAGTATTATTGGGACTTGGTATGAACAAAATAATAACCATATCTAGGAAATTAGAGCCAATGAGGTCTATCCAATGCAATTTTCTGAATCAGCGCCCCAAATAATTCCAGGAACAGGCCTGAAAACCAAGACACCAATATATTTTTGGGGAGTTGGACTGTGTTATTACTAGCCTGCGCTGTGGTGAAGTCAACATGGAGGAATTCCACACCATATCAAAATTGTGAGGAAGAACAGATTTCCACAGCAAAGAAGAGGAGATAGTTCAGGTGAATTTAGTATTGTGACTCAGGGCTTACAGGGATGTCGGATGGGATGGGGAAGAAAGCCAAGTTATGTAGGCCTGGCGAAGATAGTACTGTCTCCAAAATATAAGCCTCAAACAAAGAAATTAGTCAGTCAGAATGTATATAGTCCCTCATTTGTTGCAGTGAACCAATTGAGTATATTTTAGAAAAAAATTGGCTTGGGAAGCAGTCTAAAAGAGCAAACCTCTTTAATCGGTTGCCTTCCAGTAACACTCAAAATTCCTGTAGAAGGTTTATGAATAAACTCCAAATGCCAGTGGACTGCACTTCCGTTCAATGTGTAGTGTTCCCCTTTCTCTAACATCACATCTTGACTGACCATTTAATGCCGCTTGAAACTGACTCCAAATTGTGGTGTCTACAATATGCAGGCCATCAAAGCATGATTCAACACAAATCAAAGAGTTTAAAGCACATCAAGTAAAGAAACACCAAGTCCATGTCAGCAAGCCCTAAATGTAATTAATTACTTCCATCACTAATTGTCATTTTCTCTCCCTCACCCTCTTATGCCTCTGGAACGCTGGTGCGCATCTCCAACAGAAATGGAAAAAAAAATACTCCAGTTTAAGGCCACCTTCCATAGCTAATCTAATTATCTTCATGGATTCAAACATCTTCCTGTCATAAGAATTTAATTATCTGCACAGCAAAACTGGTTTCTCCCAAACTGGTTCCAAACCAACCTAAGTAATCAGTGTCCTACTTTTGTAGATTTAGGTTGTGTTCAAAATGATAATTCCTCTCTTACAAAAAAACTTACCCAATAAAGGCTATTATTCTCCACATTCTGTTTCTTTAGATTTTTTTCAAGCCAACTGCTATTATTTATCTTTGAGCTAAACTACAAAACAAGGACTTCACGGTATGTAATGTTCTCTCCCTTCTGAATATTGTACTGACACTAGCTAATTAGCTACTTTTATTCCAATGAAGCATAAATATCTTTTCATTATTTGTAGTTCTGACATATTTTTGTTGGGGCATAAAGCTATTTACTTGCAAATTTACAAGGTACTTTGGGATAGTCAAGAGTGATTTTTTAAAAAGCCTGCCTGGGTTGACAACTGCTAGATACTGTAATAATCTAGGGAATGGATTCTTTCCTTCTATAGCTCTTTCATTATTTTGGTAAGGAAGGAAAAGACTTTTTTCCCCCTCATAATGCATTCGGTTTTGCAGTCTGCTCTGAGTACAGGGAAACCTCATAATGTCACTCAGTGGATTATATGAACCACGGCACTGTGTGCATGTGACAGAAAGAGCTAGGAAATGGGTTTGCTTGTGCTGCGGTGTAATACATAAACATGATTGCCAATGGTTAACGTTCTCCTGCTGGGTGTTTCATGCTACATCGTATGCATGTCATGTCACGTTACGCTGAACACTAAGAGCAGCCAAAGAACAGGAAAGGGCAACGTTCCACCCAAAAATCGATGCAGCAAATGAGAACTGAATTGCTTCTTCTACAATGCACACCCATTGCAGCATAATCATAATATTTTTTAAACCACGCTAGTTCACGTCAAGAAAAGGTACCAGTCTACCTTTTTGAAGACTAATTGATAATAACCAGTTTGGGGGGGGGGGGTTATAAAATCACAAAATTTTCCACCTCTGCTTTTCATGTAAGGTGTCCTTTGCATCGGAAAAACATCAGTTACAACATAGGGAGGCTAAAAAGCCAGCATGGAGGAGGGAAGCTCCCAAATAACTCTTTCCAGTTGTATTTGGGGTAAGAAGAGGGAACATGTCAGCTTACATTATTATTGTGCCAAAGGGGGTGAGGGATGGAGAAATCACATCTAAATAGGTGAAGAAGGGATGATTTGTGTTGTCATAACCTTGGGCGAATAAAGCGCTTCTTGAGCTATCTGATGTGGTTCCCAGCAGGTTGTTTTTTTCCTAACCTGTCAGGGCTGGTACTATGGTTGTGCCCATTGGCTATGACTGTTTCCTTCTTTCCATGAGGTTTGCTGCAGACCAGCAGCCAATGGTTTTCAGAGCAGCACTGGTCTACAGACTAGCACTTTGAATACCACAGGGTTAATATACCTGACCCTTTGCATTTTCTCACAAGGAACCCACCTATTGTAGAAAATAGCAAGTACCAACTACATTATCTGATCTAGTATAGAATAATATGCACTATGCATAGCTAGCAATCCAGGTCAATGATTGTGCAAAAATGAACCATTAGCATTGTTTTCAGTCATTACAACGTTTGTAATGACTGTATATACTCATGTATAAGTTGACCTTGTGTATAAGTTGAAGGGAGATTTGGGGGCCAAGATTATGAATTTTGATAGGTCCTATTGAAAAGTTAAAAGTTATCGTGTGAAGAGGGGAAACAGCTGCCTCAAGGAGATAGCTGTTTCTGGTCACCACAATTTTCTTACCTAAGCATTCAAAAGGCTAGATTTGGCAACATGATGGAGAGAGTAAAAAGGTATTGGTGATTCTTTTAGGTTCTCCCATGAGAGACTAAGGGTGCTTCCAGGCAGCATCAAAATGCGGGTTAAAAAGGTGGGTTTAAAAATCCTGGGACCTGACAGCTAGTTCAGACGCAGACTTGTCAGTCCTGGGAAATGGTCCCTTGCTGTTCTCACACCATCCCTTGAAGCAGATTTTACAAATCCGCAAGATGGAGGGGTGATGGGGGGCATCCTGATGAAGTCTTTTTTAAATTGTCTCCAAGATGCACTAGACCTCATATGTGCGGAGATCTAAATGTAACCATAAGCAGATTTCTTGTTCTCTCTCTTCACACAAGTATAAATTCAAGCTCTGTTTAATATTATAAACATTAGAACCAAGGAATGGCGGCAGAGAGTTCTCATCACTTTTCAACTGTGCTTAGATTGAGCCACCTGTGAGTCCGTGGCTCTATTTTTTAATAGCTTGATCAGCTGTTTGGGGCTTTTAAACTGCGCATGTGCACTGGAGCAGTCCACATAGGGGGCTCAGAAGGAAGTCATGTGTTTTCCATAATTGCAAGGATATACAGCCATGCGAAGATGCACATTTTTTTGGATGGAATCGGATTTTAAGAGCACCTTTTAATGGTGTGTTTTTCAGCTGTTAACCCAATTCCATGTGATCTTTCTCAAAACATAATTTAGCCACCACTCCTTTTATCCCGGTTCTTTCCAGCTTTTAGGCATGTGTAGAATGGTCCTAAGCTATTGTCTTTGGCACTCTACTCCGATAAGGGGATTGTTCCTTTTTTAAAATAAGAATTAACATACAGTCTTCACATCGACCCAGTTTTTTGGGCTTGATTTTTTGTTTAAAAATTCAAAACTTATACATGCGTATATAGGGTACCTCCTTGACAGCAGCAACTGAAGGGCATAATGCATTCCTTGGTTCATACCCTCAAAAAAAATATATCAGGATGTAATCCTTTTACCTATCATGGGTGACTCTATAAAACTCCATGAGTTCGTCTGAGGTACATATGACTGCAGCACTCCAGCAGCACGCCCGGCCTCATTCACGCCACCAAACACGTAAATCTTCCCACCACACACTGTGGCAGCTGCTGAATGCACTGCTTTTGGCAAAGGTGCGACTGTCTCCCATTGATTGGTGATTGTGTCATACCTGAAACAAAGAGACAGATAAATAAACCTAGATGTACTAACTGCTGGTCAGGAAGACATCTCTTCAGACATACATTCTAACCCATTAGAAAACAGCCAGCAGACCAGAGATGGGCAGCTTGTGGCTCTTCAGATATTGCAACGCTCCAAATCCCAAAAAGTGTTAACCAATCACTTGCAGTAACACTATGTAACAAAATTTGAAAAAAAAATGTTCCTGGTTTGAAAGTGTTATTTCCTGTTTAATTGTGTAGTACTTACTTTGAAAATAGTTGCTATATTCCAGAAACTTTGTTTTTGTGGATGCCACAAGCTAGGTTGAATTGGTTAAAACTATGAGATATTCATTGAATATCTCAGCAAAATGTGCTGCCGGATTATTATTATTATGTTTAGTTATACTCCACTTTTTCTCTACATAAGCAAACTCAAAGTGGCTTCTTATGTTTTTGCAGTTTAATACACTTTCCCCATGTTTTTATAATTAACCAATTAGAAAATGACATTTATAACCTAGGAACAAAAATTGCATTACATATTGTAATGCAAAGGAGCAATGGAGGAAAGCATAGAAGGAGGATTTTTAAAATGTTAGGTTTGTAAGCTGACATCCAGGACTATCTTACTTTTACTGACTATGCATAAGCTGTTCTGGGACTGTTTTTTGTCTGAGGATTAAAAATGATTTTAAATAAATTAATGAAACCTATTCTCGACATATGTTTCTCAAGTCTAATTATAGCCCAGGATAGCTTTGACAAGATGGCTCCTGCTAATTAATTTCTGTTAAGTATAATAGACTGAGGTTGTTCTCGCCAATCAGTGCAGTGATACCCTGTGGCAATTGGAGGCAGGCAAGAGTTAATGCACTTAACATTGTTTTGCTTGAAGATCAGCTGATCTCCAGACATAATGCAACATGATAGCTCTCCTTGCCTCACTTAACTAGACCTTAAATGTTCGTGTTGGAAATGTGCAAGTTGCCTCTATTTAATTTTCAACGAGTGGACCGCGCTACCACACTTCGCTACAGGTTGCGGGAAAAGCTAATGGAAAATGTGTTGCAGGAATACGATTTTCCACCGTTGTATCCATTTCTCCATGTTGCACAAGAGATAAGAGGACGTGCTAGAGCGCTAAATTAGTTCTAAGGTCGTTGGTTTCAGATTTAATTAAGCCATTGACCATAAAGATGTACAGTTAATAAACCATAGATGAAGATTCATTTTAGACAATGTCACCGGTTCAGACACCTATTTTTTAAGCTAACATGGCAGCGATCCAAATAACTTCAGCAAAATGAGCATGGAGACAGTAAAAAATGATATGGTTGTTAGGCTTCATTATTTCCTTGGAATGGCAGCATATCCAGTTAAATAGAAGATTCATGGATGCAAAAATTGGAACTGCAGATGACAAGAATAAAATTATGACACATACACACACTCACGGCTTAATGCCACAAGAGTATTGAGGCTTAGAAAGATCGTCATTGTTTTCATGCATGAGTAATGTTTTTCCAGTCTGAACTTTTTATTGTTAGGCTTGTAAAACTTTTAGGTTTATAAACAAGATTTCTGATGATGACCTAACCTGCCAGAGTCAAATAGGATGGGGTGATATAACAATAGATACACGGGTGACGACAACAAATAGGGTGGGATGGCAAGAGGCAGAGGAGGGAAATGCAAGATGAATGCTAATGAAGACTTATGAATATTAACAGTTGTAGCAAATACATTTGCATGATCTCAATATCAAAAGCCGTTATGAGCAGAATAACATGAATACCCATAATGGAAATGCATGTGCAATTAAATATGGAAACTCATAAACAAGGAAGAACACGTGAATTACATTTAGAGGGCGCCCGTGCAGATTGCAGGAAGAAAACAACCCTGAACCCAAAGGGGAAATATAAATTAGCCAACTGGCACACTCTTGGTGTAAGCAAGCTGTGTGTTATAATTGTTAATTTTAAGAACAGGGTTTCTTGGATTTACATTTGAACACCACAATTTCACATGCAGAGTTTCCTGCGCCAATCTATACCACCAATCTGTCCAAAGAGAAGCAGTAACATTTCTGAAACATTTGCCATCTCTCCAAATATGGGGTCATATCTTATTGGATGCTGGGTTCTGCCTGGGAGGTTCATTTTGCTAGTCAACCTCATAACCCAAAGTTGCCCATTTGAGGGAGATGATTAAAGAAATTAGTATAATCGGACACTTTTCTGCTACTAATTATATTTATTAGTATCCTGCCTTTCTTCCAAAATTGGGACTCAAGACTGCTTACTAATTTAAAAGAACTATACAGTGAAGAAATAAACAAAAAGTGAACATTAAGACAGAATTAAGCTATTCACAGTATTAAAACAGTTCAAACTTCCCGTTAAAAGAACAGAAAGCAATTAAAAAGCTAAAATGCAATTAAGAACAGTTTGGTTGTATTGTTATACTGCACTCCCTGCCCATTCTTTAAAAAGTTTCTATTTTATAAGCTTACTGGACTAAACAAGAACTCTTAATGTGAAATGACAGCTTCATCACACTAGAGAAAAAAATCCACTTAAAATCTGGTTTCTGTGTCCTACAGAATTCTGTAGTTTAGGGAGGAGCCTTTAACAGTCTCACTAAACTACAAACCCCAGCATTCTGCAGGAGGCAGAAACCAGATTTTAAGTGGATTTTTTTCCTAGTATGATGGCCTTCTTGGGAAGGGAGTTTCAGCGTCGAAGGACAGCCACTGAGAAGTCCCTCTCTCATGTCCCCACCAAGTGTGTTGGTGACAGTGTTGAGACAAATATGTACTATGATTGCATGTTAATTGTATTGTATTTGTCTGTTTTAATTTGAGCCATAGGATAATATGGGTAATAAATGTAGTGTTACCCATATTATCCTATAGCTCAAGTTAAAACAAATATGGATAATACATGTGGTGTTAGGAGCCCCCAGTGGCACAATGGGTTAAACCCTTGTGTCGGCAGGACTGAAGACCGACATGTTGGAGGTTTGAATCTGGGGAGAGCATGGATGAGCTCCCTCTGTCAGCTCCAGCTCCCCATGCGGAGACATGAGGGAAGCCTCCCACAAGGATGGTAAATCATCAAATCATCTAGGCATTCCCAGGGCAACGTCCTTGCAGACAGCCAATTGTCTCACACCAGAAATGACTTGCAGTTTCTCAAGTCGCTCCTGACATGAAAAAAAAGGTGGTGTTTATTTTCATAAGATACCAAATCCATCTGAACAAGTTTTATAGGAAGCGTGGGGGGGGGGGGGGGAGATACTGGTTGAGGATGTGCATTCTTTCACTATAAAATGCAATTTTCCAAACCCTGTACCAAAGCAATTTAATATATTTTTATGGTTTTTACTTGCGCTACTCCTAGGCAACAATGTGCTGCCACCGATAACTTTTGGAAACATACTCCACAAAAAATGTATTAAATTTTAATAAAGAAAGAAGGGCCTTTCTTGATGATCTCAGGGCCCAGGCAAGCTCATAAAGGGAGACACTGTCTGCCAAGCTGTTTGGACCTGAGCCATATAGGGCTGTGCAGCTCATAGCCACCACTTTGACTTGTGCCCGGGAACAAACTGGCAGCCAGTAGAGCTGTTTTAAGAGGAGAGTTATATTGCACCTATAATCTGCCCTAATTAACACTCTGGCTGCAGCTCTTTGAACAATCTGAATTTTCCAGTCACTCCTCAAAGGCAGTCAGTTTGCGAATGCATTATAGTAGCCCTAAGGGGTATAACTGTGGCCTTTGTTGCCCTTCTCAAGGGACAGCTTTTTGAAATGTAGTGTTTTTGATGAAAAAAATAGCTGTGTTTTGGCACCCTTTAGATTTAATGACAAGGTGTCAAGGACTTTCAAAAGCTGCAGCATCTTATCGCCATAGTGGACAAAGTGAAATTCAAGCTGGATCTACACTGCCAGACAATCCAAGTTTCAGAATCCAGATTACCTGCTTTGAACAAGAGTATATGAATCTATTCTGTCATATAATCTAGTTCTAAGCGGATAATCTGGATTCAGAAACTGGATTAAATGGCAGTGTACTAGTACCTTAATCTGGATAAGACATGAGGGCTTTTAAATCTATTGTACAGCAAATCAGGAAATATGGATTCAGCCTGTATTTGATGGGGTTACATTTCCCTGAAGATGCAATGTGAATGTACTCCAGTAAGTTCAGCTGTGTGCCAAGTCAAGTCCAGATCCGTCATCAGTGGTGGTCACAGTGGTTCTGTTTTTTTTTGTTGTTGTCTCAGGAGCGACCTGAGGACCTGCAAGTCGCTTCTGGTGTGAGAGAATTGGCCGTCTGCAAGGACATTGCCCAGAGGACACCCGGATGGTTTGATGTTTTTATCATCCTTGTGGGAGGCTTCTCTCATGTCCCCGCATGAGGAGCTGGAGGTGATAGAGGGAGCTCATCCGCTTCTCCCCGGATTTGAACCTGCAACCTGTCAGTCTTCAGTCCTGCTGGCACAGGGGTTTAACCCACTGCACCACCGGGGGCTAGTGGTTCTGTGTGCCAAATGTAGTCCAGGTCCATTATCGAAGGGGGTCATAATGCTCTGCCTTCCATCCAGTTGAGACAGTGCCCCAAACCCCTCCAGTCTGATCAGTTGCTGATCAATTCCTCTCTTTTTGCTGTGTGCCATAAGAAAGGGCAGGAGAACAAGTGGGTGGGGTCATGTAAATTCCACACAAGGAACCCTGGGATGCCTGCCTGTGGTGGAAGAAACACATCATATCTAGGGTGAAATTGTCCTGGAATGAAAGCATTCCTTGGGTTATGGGCTGTAGTGTTTGGGGAGGATAATGACAGCATTTGGGCTACGTGTTCATAGTGCTTGCCATAACCTGCAATGTCAGTTGAGGGAGTGCCTTTGGAGGCTTCTCATCACTTGGAACAATAGTCTGTTTGTGGAGGCTGGAGGTTGTCTGTGTAAGTGGACACCTCTGCCACATACACACATACATATTTTTCACTTTTCTTACATTTATGTTTATTATAAATTATAGATATACACAATATTTTTTTTAAAAGCTGTCCCTTGAATCAAATGTCTCTAATTTGATTTACAAATAGGTAAGCAAATTAATTCTGGCTTTTCCCTTTACATTTCTCTGCTTGCCTCAGGTATACAAGAATTTTAGTTTACTCTGTGGTCTTACCTCACCTGCTGTATGGAATACTTCAAAGGCAGCAGAGCTTCTGTTCCCCTGTAACTACATTACAATGCATGGCCAGGAGAACCGACATTTTTTGCTTAGCTGCACAGTTCTCAGGGACACAGGACTGGCTCCCACATGGAGTGTGGTCATCTTAGCAGTGAAATACTATACATCTTAGTCAAGTGATGACTTCATGTGGAGGGCTAACCTTTCTCTTTGTCCTCTTCCTTTTAAAAGTGCCAGTGAGCTGGTGTATTTGTCAAAATGCTTTTCACTTTCTTGTGGCCTCGTTGCATCCACATTCCAAGTTTACATCATTCATCCTTTTTTGGAACTGTGATGCCATCTTACTTGGAGCACCTCCTGAGACCATTTCCTTATATCTCCCCAGTCAAAAAGCACTGAATTAAGACTTAAGTGTGCTAAGTCTTAATCCAGGCAGAATTGTTTGGGCTTTAAACTCTTCATTATAGATATGAATGAAACTCTTCAATGGTGTAAAATACAATTTATTGGTGTGTTTGTGATTGTGAGTGTGTGTGTAGAAGGGGAATAAACCCTTCCATTTTACGTGCCAGGAACCAAATCCAGTTTGGTGTCCCAGTGTCCCCATTCAAACCACTCCATCACACTGGTGGAGCCCCCCATGGCACAATGGGTCAAACCCTTGTGCCAGCTGGACTGAAGACTGACAGGTCAGAGATTCGAATCTGAGGTGAGCACAGATAAGCTCCCTCTGTCAGTTCCAGCTCCCCATACGAGGACATGAGAGAAGCTTCCACAAGGATGGTAAAACATCAAAACATCTGGGCATCCCCTGGGAACGTCCTTGCAGATGGCCAATTCTCTCATATCAGAAGTGACTTGCAGTTTCTCAAGTCGCTCCTGACACGAAAAAAAAAATCACACTGGTTCTCTAAAGCAGTCTGTAGAAATTGTTTTCTTTCTCAAGGTTTACCAGATCCGTTTGCTTCATTCCATGTGTGCATAATGCTAATTTTGAATAAAAAGTCTGCTCAAACATTTCGAACTGCCCTTCTTTTTTTCCTTCTATATTATTTCTACATCTGAAAACATATTTTTATTGTGAAAGAAGTAGTGCCTAGAAACACATTCATTATATTAATTGAGGCATAGCTGTAAATTACTGAGATGTATAACTTCTTTCCCCCATTCCTGTTACTTTGGGATTCTTTCTTTCCATAGTTTTATTAGTGTCCCTTAACATTTTATTTATTTCTTCAGCAATTGCTATAGGAAAAAAAATACTCTTTGCATTATTGGTCTTTATTCTGCATCATTGTATCTGAACGAACATTATTTCCCTCTCGTCTTGTCTTCTTAATTCCTCTTGTGCAGGTTAGCAGTTTTATGAGTGAATGGTTTAATTGGTTCTTCTATAAAGCCATCATCTGGACCTTATACAGCATACTTTTACAATCTTATATATTATTCAGTTTGCAGTTTACAGAAAAGTAGCCATGGAAAACCACAATAGCAATGCAACAGAGTGGGCTTCTTTTTGGTGTGCCACACACATATAATGTCAGGAGCGATTTGAGAAACTGCAAGTCGCTTCTGGTGTAAGAGAATTGGCCATCTGCAAGGATGTTGCCCAGGGGATGCCCGGATGTTTTACCATCCTGTGGGAGGCTTCTCTCATGTTCCCACATGGGAAGCTGGAGCTGACAGAAGGGAGCTCACCTCACAACCCAGATATGAAACACTGGTCAGCAGTCCTGCTGGCACAAGGATTTAACCAATTGCCCCACTGGAGGCTCCGGTGTGCTATATGAACCTTTAACATTTTTTTAAAACTTGTGTTGTTGTTTCTACAGATTTTCTCCTCCTCCTTCAAACAAACTTCTGTTTGAAGTGTTACTGGTCTATGTGTGAATGTGGTTTATACACCTTCAAGTTGCTTCTTGATTTATAATAGGCCCATTAATTTTGTAAGATTTTCTTAAGCAAGGAACAATCAGAAGTGGTTTGCCATTGCCTGAAATATGCTCTATAGCCTCTAATTACCATAATTAAAGTATCAGAATAGACTAGCGTTCCAATCTGATGCCCTTAAGAAGTTTTAGACTTGAACTACCATAATAGCTCACCAATGGGACATGATACCTGAGGCCAACAGAAAATTCAATCCAGAAAATCCTGAGGATATCAGGTTGAGCCTTCTTCAACCTGGTATCCTCTGGATTTTTTGGGCTGCAAATTCCCATCAGCCCCAGGTATCATGGCCTATGGTGAGCTATCTTAAGGGCATCAGATTGGAGAACTCTGGTCTATTTCGATACTCTTAATTAGCACAGTGTACTAGCTTTGCATTTTTTCATTCCCACAAACACTCTAGGCTATATGGAAGGCACGTTTTCCCCATCTTTTTGCCCACACTTTCCATCTGCCAAGTGAGAATAGAAATGTTGATTTATCTGTAATATTTTCAGCATGACCTTGTATGTGAAGTACTGTGACTATTCTACATACAAATAAATACACAATAATAAATGTAAACATAGCCGTGTGACTTAACTGCCTCTGTTCAATGAAAGGTATGGTTCAGAGTAATTTTCAAAATTTACATTTATATTAGTTATTGAGATTTCTTATTCTTGGGCATTCCAACTACTGTTCAATGTGCATTATAAAAGCAGGAGTATTTTTTTAAAAAGGAATTCTACGTACAGCATCTGAAATGATGCTATTTTCTTATTTAATTGTCTTTGAAAGCTCTTGAATGAATGGAGGAACATTACCTCTCCACGTGATCAACGTTGCCTGCTACACCAAGGCCTCCAATGGTATAAATCTTCCCATCATATACCAGGCTGTTGTGCCGACATCTTGGAACTGTCATTCGGGAGACGAGATTCCAGTTGTCAAGTAGTGACATGTAACACCAGACGTCAGAGAGTGTGACTCCGGACTCCATACCACCTGCTCCCAAGATGTAGAAGAGAGAGAGAGAGAAAGATCTACATGAGTTGGAGGAAAAAGCATTCTTTGTACAAATTTATAAGAACTTGAGAAAAGCAAAATTCTGTTCACATCATGATCAATGAGCTGTCTATGGGAAGACCACAGGCAGAAGGACATGAATGAAATTGCAGCCCCTCTTTCTTGCACTTCCAAGTAAATTGAGAATACCACATCTGATACTAAAGTTAAAGGTAAAGTTTTCCCATGGTCTAGTCATGTCCAACTCTGGGGTGTGGTGCTCGTCACCAATTTTAAGCCGAAGTGCCAGCGTTGGCCATAGACGCCTCCAAGCTCATGTGGCTAGCTCTTTCCTTGCACTCCCTTCAGGATTTATTGCACTCATTGAGCCTGAACCTCAGCTATGTTCCTCTTTCTCAGCCATATCCTTTTAAAGTTGTTTACGATTGTGGTTGTTTTATATTTTATTTGTAACTTTTTGGGCTTGTCCCTTGTAAGCTGCCCCGAGTCCCTTTGGGGAGATGGTTGGCAAGGTATAAAAATAAAGTTGTTGTGGTTGTTGTTGTTATTATTATTATTATTATTATTATTATTATTATTATTATTATTATTGCATGGAGCGCCATTACCTTGCCGTAGAAGCGGTAACTATTGATCTACTCAGATTTGCATGTTTTTGAACTGCTAGGTTGGGCCTAACAGCGGGAGTGCACCCCACTCTCTGGATTCGAACTGCCAACCTTTTGGTCAGCAAGTTCAGCAGCTCAGCAGTTTAACCCACTGCGCCACCAGGGGGACATGATACTAAAGTTTACATACAGCTATCTTGACTGTTAGGCATTGATAGCACTATCCTCTATGAATGTGTCTCATCACATTTTAAAGCCAGCAAAGGACACATCTACATTGTAGAATTAATGCAGTTTGACTCAATACTGGGTTTTATGGTTCTACAGTTCTTTTGTTTGGCTTCTCTGCCAAAGAAGGCTGGTGCCTCACCAAACTACAAGTCCCATAATTCCACAGAATTGAGCCATGGCAATGAAAGTGGTGTCAAACTGCATTAATTCTACTGTGTAGATGCACCTCTAGTTGGCCATGGGTTCCACAATTTGAGTTTGTACTGAATTAAGAAGTACTTGAATCAGTCACCATTTTAGCTTCAGTAGATGATCCCACTGGGTTCTTGTATTATGACTGAGTGAGACAGACAGACGGAGACAGACAAAAAAGAAAAGAGAGGGGGGGGAAGGAGGTTGGGAGGAAGCTTCCCCAGGCATACTTCTTCCATACATAATGTTATCCATCACTATCGCGATTCCCCTTGCTAAACCTTTCCCTAAGCTAAACAGCCCCAAATGTTGTAACTCTTTTCTTGCAAGGGAAGTTCTCCCAGTCCCTTGGATCATTCTGGTTCTTCTTTTCAGCAGCACAAACCAGTTGCAATATACAAGAACATCTTCCAACGATACTTGACTAATTAAAATAAATTACCTCAGTTGCAGCATCTGTTCAGAAGATGCAAATAGTTGTCATTTATTCATGCATCTCAAAGGGTTCTTTTAAAAAATGCTGTCATAATGTCAGACTAGTCAGGGTATTTGCATATGGGACGATGCCTGGGTCGCATTCATAAATAACCAGCAGTCTATTCAGTTACAGATGGAACTGATAGCAACCAACTAAGTCGTTTCCCAGAAAATCATACAATTGGAAGTCTAGGCAATGAATGCTAAGCGAAATAAATGAAGGGGCACTTCCCAAGCTGTCTGAAAGTTAATCCAGACGTAAAACACAACAACCAAGAACTTTCTCACCTCACATTAAAAACTGGAACTGGCATCTTGTTGAGCACTCGTGAGCATGTAAACTAGATTGATACATGAATAGTGATTCACACTAGTGATTGTGGTATTGCTGCCATGATCACAAATGCCTTCTTTAACAGTGAACAGCTACACTGAGCAATGAAGGTCTGTTCTGTTTACTGTTGGGGTGCTGAAGATTGAAATTTCCAGCTCTCTCCACCAGAGATATGCAGTGCAACGATCAGAAGCAGAACCCCCATTGAAGCACCGTATCCCATGACAGATTATTAGCAGAAAGAACTGCCTATTGCTACACCTTGATCATCAGTAGAACAGCCTTCATTGCTTGGTTCAGGTGCTTGCTGTTAAGGAAGATTTGAGGACTTGAGTTAAGAGTTAACATATTCTTAACTATGTCTGTGTGGGTTGCTGTAGGGTTTTTTTTGGGCTATATGGCCATGTTTAGAGGCATTCTCTCCTGACATTTCGCCTGCATCTATGGCAAGCATCCTCAGATGTGAGATCCTATGTCTGTGATGTAGAATCTAAACCTTTTTCAGGCCCCACATTACCATGAAGGGATAGTATTTGTAGTATCATGTATCATAGAATGTAATATAAAAGAACACTGAATATATGGCCATTGCCAGATATAAAAATGTATGAGCCAAATGGAAGCTAGGAGTAAGAGTGCTTTTAGGTTGTTAAAAATCACCAAAACAGTCTGCTACGCACTTGGGCTGATAAGCAAGTTGGGAATTAGGAAGGAGGGAGCTGACACCAAGGTCATTTTCCAAAGGTAGACAGCGTGAACAACCATGATGTAATGTTCTGATGATGGTTGTTTTTTTTATCATTTTTATCTGATATTGTTTTATATTCATGTACCATTTTTGTTATGCTGCACTTGGATAAAAACAACCACTATCAGAACATTACATCACGGTTGTTCACACTGTCTACCTTTGGAAAATGACCTTGGTGACAGCTCCTCCTTCCTTGGAGTGCCTTGTAAGCTGCCCTGAGTCCCTTTCGGGAGATGGTGATGGGATATAAATAAAGATGATTACTATTATTATTCTGATTAGAAAATCACTGGTGTGGTACAAATGTAACAGTAGAGATGTTGTTAGCCAATGAACATAATCACACGTAACTTCTGAAATGTAATGCCTTTACAAAAGCGTGTAACTGGACTAACCTTTTAGTCCTGACAACAAATAGTGTGCAGTTCTGCTTTTGCTGACTTTTCAATGAAGTTAACCTTTTGTTTGAAAGCAAGAGCTCGATTGAGATGCAGAACAGGCCCACACTTGATAGCCTTTATTTGTCTCAAACAATACATATCAAACAGGGGCACACTTGTCATGAGAACAGAGTTTGAGAGTCACTTCTCCAGGGTATACCCGATCACAAACCCAGATTTGTTGCTGTATGGTGTACAGCTTAACCCTAAACTGGATATCTAAATACTGTTAAACCATTTCTAATACTAATAAACAGATATATATCTCTTTTGAGCTACTACTGTAATTTTATAAATATTTTTATAACAAGAATATTGCATCCAATGGTTGTGTATAATAATTCCACATGGATGCACAACTCATCTTTCTCTTCCCTTCCACCCCCCACAGGCCCCTTTGTTCCTTCAATCTATATCAAAGTGGCATGATATCCCTATACTTAAGGCCCCCTGGTGACACAACGGGTTAAACTGCTGAGCTGTTGAACTTGCTGACTGAAAGGTTGGCAGTTCAAATTCGGGGAGTGGAGTGAGTCCCTTCTGTTAGCCCCAGCTTCTACAAATCTAGCAGTTTGAAGCATGAAAATGTGAGTAGGTCAATAGGTACTGCTTTGGTGAGAAGGTAATGATGCTCCATGCAGTCATGCTGGCCACATGACCTTGGAGGTCTCTACGGACAATGCTGGCTCTTCGTCTTAGAAATGGAGATGAGCACAACCCCCCAAAGTTGGACACAACTAGACTTAATGTCAAGGCAAACCTTTACCTTTATCCCTATACCTAGTTTTGAGTAATTCCTTGCTTGCATAACAGCCCTGTGAAACAGACTGTCCTTCACTCCAGTTCAGGAGATCTTCCTAACTCTCTTTACACATTTTATTTTCTTGTGGACACACAAAAATGCAGATGGGAGGAGGGGAACACAAAGATCAGATTCAGATGCAGTCCCTCAGGCACACAACCATTGGATACAACCAACAAGGTAGCTGTTGTTATGTAGTGGCAGTAGTTAGTTAAGACAGATACCCAGTAGTAATAGTAAATATTAGCACTGTGAAATCTGTGTCAAATTCTCTACTGAAGCACCCATGTGTATATGTATGTTATGACATAAAATAAAATCTATAAAAGAACAAGCAAATTGAGCATAACTTAGTGAAGTGACATTTCTGTATTCCTCCAGCTAAACGTCAGAGAGAAGAGTTTGCTCAGTTTTACTAGAACTACCAAGAGGGTTACAGTTCATTTTCAACAAGAGATTTAAAACATGAACAAGCATGAACCCTCTTGTAAGCAAATAAGGTAAGTGTAGGTCAGGTATGCAGCGTCTCAGTCAAACTGACTCTAGATGCAGAAACCCCTCATTTAGATCCTGTTCCAGCCAATGTTTTACACTCTATTGCAACTGCAAGGGGAAGCTCTTCACACGCCTGACGGGTGCCGAACCTATTCTCTGCATGTTACAAGTGCTGAATGCACTGGGGAGGAAATCTGAGCTGATGTGAAATGGAAAGTGATAAAAGGAAGAGATTTTTTCCCAGGCAAGCTGGCACATATTCATAACGTGGCCTGTCACAGAAAATAGTTTTCAGAGTCACAATGCTCTTCTCTCTCTGATTCTTGATGCTCACCTGAGAGGTAGACATTGTCTCCAGCGCTCACCACACTGAAAAACTCCCGGTCATAGAAAGGCAGGCTGGCCAGGGGGTACCATTTATTGTTTTGAGGGTTGAAGCATGTTACTGCTGTTAAGGCTCGTTGATTCATTCCAGTCATTTGACGACCTCCGACTAGGACTATGACTTCAGCCACCCCTAGGAGGCAAAATAATGAGAATTACTGTTTCCCAAGCATTTGTTTTGATCACTCAATCACACACATCATTCCATAAGTCTGAATCCCTCTTTTAGGACAAATCTACATTAGCTGTTAAATCCGCAGCCGGTTTGGAGCAAAAATGATCCAAACCGGTCCCAGAGGTGGCCACATACATCCTGCGAAACCCACTGTGGCACCACATTAGCACCCACATAGTCCAGCTAGGCTGAGACTGCATTGACCCCACTGGATTATCACCTCACCTTCTGTGTCAGTATTGTGGCCCCTAGCTGGCCACAAAGCTCTATGCTGGAATCAGCAGAGGCACTTGCACAACTAGAAGCAGGAGGGAGCTTCATTTTAGTTGGATAGCACCTCTTTTGATGTCACATCAGGGTGTCCATGAGAGCCGAAAGATCACATAGAGTGATGGTGATGGTAACACAGCTATGAAGAATCCCTCTTTTTTCCTGGTGACTGCAGCAGTGTCCCATTCAGGCAGAGGACTGTTCCAAATTGGACTTGGTCCAGCTATCCACACTTCCTCAGAGCTGCAGGATATTCTGGAGCAGGGGTTTTCAACCTGTGGATCCCAAGGTGTTTTGGCCTACAACTCGCAGAAATCCCAGCCAGTTTACCAGCTGTTAACATTTCTGGGAGTTGAAGGCCAAAACATCTGGGGACCCACAGGTAGAGAACCACTGTTCTGGGGTTTCCAGCAAACTCTACAGCATCTCCTGACTTTGACTGATGCAGAGCAAAACTGATTTAAGCCAGGGCAACCTACAATATTCACTGGAAATACTGGAATGCCATGAGGATAGCCAGGAGTCAATTTGGGGTGAGATTGGGTTTTTATGCTAGCGTAAACTTGTAGGCTTCTTCCGTGAAGTTTGATTATGTGCTCGCTATATTTATCTACTTATTGCACTTTGAAAAAGCTCTACATGGGAGCATGCCGAAGTGTGGTCAAATATATTCCCTCTTTTCTGCTCAAACAGTAGATAAATGCAAGGAGTCTTTTTCTAATTAAGGTCAAACAATTGACATTGTGAGAACAAATGAAGAATAAGTTTCGAAAGGAAAGGAGTCCCACCACCAAAGCATTCTTCTTTGCTTAATGGTTATGTCCATTTTATGTTTCAAAAATAGCTAATTACTGATATTTAAAGGGGAGAGGCATATTAAGTGAACATTGATGAAATCGCTGTCATAATAATAATAATAATAATAATAATAATAATAATAATAATAATCATAATCCTTATTTATACCCTGCCACCATCTCCCCAATGGGGGCTCAGGGCGGTTAACATGAGGCCGAGTCCAAAAACAATACAACGAAATAAAATACAAAACAACAGAAAAAGTAAACACAGCAAAATGCATAATGCAACGAAGTAAAATAAACAATGCAGAATAACACATTAAAATCACAATGAAATCAATCACACAGAGTGGGCCAAATGTGCAAGATAAAATGATAAAAACATTAAAACCCTGGCTGAGATAGGAAATAGAAAAAAATGTATTTGTAAAAGAGGAACCCAAAAAGGAGGAGCAATGGGGTTTGGTCTTCATTAAGGGTAGGGGAAAGTGCATCTTGTAGACAACTGTAGATGTAAACTTACAATAATGGATTGGATGGTCACTCTCCGAAAGCACATCAGAAAAGCCAAGTTTTTAGATTTTCTTAAAAGCTGCTAGGGTGGGGGCTTGCCTAATCTCTTATATTCAAAGCAAAATATTCTTAAATTAATATTCCCTCATTAGACACACATTCAAATTGTCATCATTCCTAACAAAGATTGGAATAATTTACTCCATACTTAAAAGAAACAACAGTGTTCTCATAACCACATTTGGTCAGAAGTAAATCTCACTGGCATGCTTTGTAACAAATGCCTCCTTGCACTTCAGCCTTACCTTGGATTTCTAAACCAATCTACTATGGAAAACACTGTACTGAACTCATTCAGACTTATTTCCCACTAAACCTTCACAGGATTATCCTCTAAAAGAATGAATTGTGTTCTAATAGATAGCTAAGCCATGCAAAATGACAGAATAAGGACCTTTAGATGCCCAAGCGACAAAAGACACAATGGCTCCCCTAAGCTCTGTTTTCAGGCTTTGTCTTCCATAATTTCTCTGCAGTTTTTTTTTCAAAGCAGCTACTTTCCTGCCTTATTTTGTTAGGAGACTAAAAAGGGATTAGGAATATTTTCAAAAGCTGCAGTTTATCATCTGCCTATTCACCACATCCCCTCCATGCTGCATGTCTTTCATAGCTTTCCCATTTTAGATATCAATGGTACCAAGAAGTGTACAATTTGAAGGGAAAAACGTGCCAGCAATAAGATTACTGTTTCCCCCCAAAATGGCAGGCAAAACTCATCACCTGTATCAAATCTAATGTGATTATAACAAATGACCTCAAGAGGGCATTGCACATACTGTGATATTCACAAAGTATATAAAGACTGTCTGCAAGCGCAGGAACAGCTCCACATAATTGCACTTCGACCTACAAGAATAATCACTCCCTTCCCCTTATCCCTGGAAAATTACTTTTGCCTAATCAACAAGCTTCTGAAAATGGTTTGCATTACACCTACAATTTTATCTGCAAACATTAAATAGGTACTTTTCAGAAATACTTTTGCCCGATAAACCATTAGTCACCCCAGCTAAAGAGTCTGAGCGTGGGTTGTTATTGAAAATCCCCTGTATTTCGTCTTTTTGAATTTTTCCCTGATTAGATACTGTCTCCACAAACTGAAAAGGATGCAACTTGACATATAATTTTATGTACTCTGTGCATCACTAGCAATTTCTTGGCTTTTTGATTTTGCCAGCTAGGATGAAGCAACTTTGCGAGGCGTTCTGTATTCCTTCCACATATAAATCTATCCAAATTTGATACAGGAATTCAATGCTATCTTTTAATATAATAGGTGCACAGAAAAGTTTCAGTATTTATATGGTAAAATTGGGCTTGTATGACTTCATATTCCACAGACAGAATGTTAATTTACGCTATTCTTTCTTCATTTGCTCTCTCTCTCTCTCTCTCTGTTTTCCAAGGCAGTAAAGAGATAAGAGAAGGCATTAAAATAATATATCAAAGGTTCCAATAACTGTAAAGTGGAAAGTTTAAAAATACATACCTGACTACTAAGCAATGTCAGAAACATGACTTTAAAACCATCACCTCCCAAATTGGTGAAAAACAGGGAACAAAGGACATTACATTTTGTAGCTTGAGGTTAAATAAAGAAGCTATGTACACTGATCTCTGAATCTCCATTCAACATTATCAATGTATGGTGTTTTCCATACATCATAGGCAGGCTAGTCCAGTGGGCACAAGTGAGCCACATCATCCTCACTGGCCTCTCTTTGAACATCTCCCCAATATTTGTTGAATGCTCTACTTTGTTGGCTTGTTGTCTACGCAATGCAACCAAGGCGCATCATGGTGGGATACCAGGTGGAGAGTTCCACCTGTCCTGAATGCTCTCTGCCTGTTTACTTGGATAAGGACCTTTTCCAATAGTGTCATGTATGCCTAAGATGAGACAGGCCAATAGCCATTGGTGTGGTGATTTATCCATCAGATCAGGGTGCTGGGAATGGCCAGAGAAAGCTTAAAAGTAATGGGGGTAAATTGACATTATCTTTCACCATTTACTACCTGAGGTAACTATCTCAGTCTGCCCAGAAGTACGGCTGGCTTGAGTTTACGAGTTGCCTAATCCTAAAAAGACAGATAGCCTCCTCATCCAAGGCAGACCACCATGCCAACTTTCAATGGAATGGCTGTTGGGACACCATGCCCCTCCCCTCAAGTTCCTTCAATTGCAATATTATGTAATTTCACTGTTGACTGGTTACATGTAACGAGTTTCTGCTCATTCTCCTGGGTGGCAGTTAGCAATTGTTACACGTTCATCTCTTTTTTTGATATATGTGTAAGACTAAGGTATAAAAGATATCTAATTTCCTTGCTTTGTGTCTCAAATTTATTTGTCACTCGTGAGCTTATGAATCTCTGTATTTTAAACAAACGGCATGACCAAGTCAATGACATTTGCCTATCTGTATTGTCAACTAAAATCTATTCCTCTATGGAGGATATGGAGGTAACAGGCCTCATAAAAGTCTTGCAATCAAAGATACACTAAATCTCGTGAGTCTTGCTATTGAGTAATTAGACTAAGACGGTGTCTACACTGACCATATAAAGATACCCACCATGAACCAGCCAGTTCCACAACAGATGTGTTTCTTCCAGCACAAGGACTGTAGGTTACTCCAGAGGTTCCAGGAAATTTTGGAGTGATCACAGAAATTTTTGACATGCAGACAGGTGGATCAAACTGAATTTGGAGTGAATTAGTGTCTACACACCAAAAAATCCTATCGCTGTTTCGCACGCAAATCCTTGATTCTGAGGTCACTTTTGGAGACCACACAGTTGACTACCCTGTGACCTCACCAGAAGTAGTCTTGCTATCAAGACTTTGCTGGGGGTGGGAAGGATGAGGACTGGTGACATAGGAGTGGTGGCAGCCCCTAGGAACTGCTTGACCAATCATCTGGACCAAAACATGGCTTTGGGTCACCCTGTGGTGTATCCATGACTGCTCCAGAGCATACTACCTCAGAGTATTTCACCTGGTGTAGACTAAGCCTAAGTCTAATTACTATGTGTGTAGATTAAAGAACTTTTCTGAATTCAAAGTTATACCAGATCAGAGTTACATAGTCTTAAGTAAGATAATTCACATAAGAGTGAAGGTCTATTGAAAGAAAAGAGTCTGGAATTAGTCTGTTGAGGGTCAGCTGTGACAACTAGCCTGGAAAGATAATAAATATCTGGTGAGGAATGTTAGTTGAAGAGAATGTATACGCAATATAAGATGATCTGGTAACTTCTGTATTGGACTGTGCAGTATCCTTCTGTGCAGATTTTGGTCTATCAACGTGCAGAACAGAAATTTATTTCTTCCAGTAAAGTTGGTTCCTTGATTCACAAAGCCTGGTCTCCAAATTTCCCCCAGAAATAGTGGGGGTCGGGGAGGAAATTCCCTGCCTGTTTGTAGTTATGCATCTCCAGAGTTCCTGCACTCTGACAGTACTGAATTACTTTTAAAACACACAACAAGTCCTGTATTCCTGAACATCATGTAGCTAAGCAAAACCATGGATAATAGCAAGTCCTGTTGAAATGAAGAATTTCTAGGCCAAGAATATCCTATAGTACCTAGAAAATGCCTAGAGGAGACATATTTTGTCATGTGTGGAAAAATGAAATTGCAGGGAGTCATTTTGTCTGTCCAAAACCAGCTGGTGGGATCTCATCATTTGATTTATGGTGATGAATGTGCTCTCTTTTTCCATCTTTCTCATGTTCTCCCTTCCCCCCTTTGCCACAGGGGAAATCAGTATGAGTACCTGAAGCAAAACTGCAGGGTACCCAATTGCCCAATCTGCTACCCTGACTGTATCTTGGAAGTGCCACAGAGAGAACGAAAAGAAAGCCATCCAAGCATCAAGCCATATGCAAGCTGTAAGCAGCCTGAAACATGTCCTATCAATAGCTGCAGGGGAAAAAAAGACAGATCTCACGAGTCTGAGCTTCGAAGCTTAGTTGTGCTTTACCTGCTGATAGCCTGGGACGAGTCCTTGGAGTCTGCATCTCTTGTCGGGCGTGCGGCAGCATATGATAGCGCTTTGCTTCATTCACCAGATCCCGGCAGGCCTCTGAAGACTTTATCAACTCCTCATTGTCAACAACATTTAGGAGATAACTGGGATGGATGAAGGGAAGGCGGACCACTGCCAGCAACTCAGCGGCACACTGTAAGGGAAGACATTGCAAGAGCTTTACGTAACATAACTGACTCCGTACTGCTTTCTTCCCCTATCCATTACCTGGGACAATATGACATTTAAGGATGCCCAACCTTGAACCTTTGTTAACAATGTCTGCTTGTGTTCTCCTGTCTCAAAAGACAGATACAGTTCAGATGAGAGCAATATATATATATATTTAAAAACTCCCTGTCTACATATGTCTTTGTAATCATAACAAGGAAAAAATACAGTAATGCAAAGACAGTGGCTTTTTTCCTACAATCTTGGATTGAAATATTGCAAACTAAAATGGAAAGTGAATTTACACACCTTACACTTAGGAGACCTACTGTAATAGTTCCCGTTTCCTCTGTTAACCTTGAAATTTAAGACTGGCTGCTTGGTTTCAAATAAACAGCTATTCGGGTAGCATTTTAAATGTCAAAAAGGTTTATGTTTATAAAACCTCTAAGGTGAATGCCTGAAAAATGGCAGTGGTTTTGATAAAGCCACAGGGTTTGTTCACTTGGCAAAACAAATGTGCTCTTCTAGGTTTTGCTAGAAGTCAAACTCCAGGAGCTAATAATGAAATGCAGATGGCATAGCTCCATCGTTCTGCATAAATAAAATAAACTTTATAGTGCAAAGGACATTTAAATAGCTGAAAACATCCATCATCCGTCAAGGCTGAACAGAAAGCAAAAGGACAACAGAGAGAAAATTGCATGTTATAAAATGAAAAATTCCTGCAATGATTTATTTTTGCAACTGTTCATTCTCCTAAATATCACAGACTGCCTCCGAGCAAAAAAACTCAACATTTGGAGAATGTGCTGGCAAAAGAAGAAGAGAGGCAGAAAAGGAGGGGGGTTGTACAAATGAGGAAAGGTGATTAAAAAGAGAAAGTTTTATCACTAGGATGATGATGATGATGATGATGATGATTTGTATCCCATCTTTCCACATATTCCAAGTGCATCTACGCTGAAGAATTAATGTAGTTTGAAATGACTTTCGATGCCACGGCTCAAGGCTATGGGATCATGGGAGTTGTAGTTTTACAAGGTCTTTAGCTTTCTTTGCTAAGGAGTACTGGGGCCTCACCAAACTACAATTCCCAGGAATCCATAGTATTGAACCAGTTAAAGTGGTATCAAATTGCATTCATTCTACAGTGTAGATGCACAATGGGATTCAAATGGCTTACAACAATGAAAGATACTAAAATGTAATAAGATACCAAAGTTAAAAGAACAATTGAACAATCAAAATGTAAAGCCAAGGTTAAACACACAGAGACACCAGCACAACAATTGGCAATATTATCCAGTATATATTGTGTAAGATGGATTTTACATGGTCACTCATCAAATGCCTATCAGAATAGAAATAGGGATGGTGCCACTCAACGTCTCTGGGAAGGCAGTTCCAAAGCTTAGGGGCAACCACGGAGAAGCCCTTTCCCATGTTCTCACTAGATGTATCGATCAGGCTGGTGTCACAGAGAAGGGCCTTCCCTGCAGATCTCAAAGCAAGGGCTTGTTTGTAAGGTATGATACTTCAAATAACCTGGATAATGGGTGAATGCATCCAAAAACAGCAAGGTTCTTTACGAATTTCAAGGTTGCTAACTATTTTTGTTGTTCATTCGTTCAGTCGTTTCCGACTCTTCGTGACCTCATGGACCAGCCCACGCCAGAGTTCCCTGTTGGCCGTCACCACCCCCAGCTCCTTCAAGGTCAATCCAGTCACTTCAAGGATCCCATCCATCCATCGTGCCCTTGGTTGGCCCCTCTTCCTCTCTTGCTAACTAAACACCTGTAATTTGCAGGCAACTGTGAACATCCACTATGAGTTAGACGGGCAGTCTCTGAGTTACAAATATCCGACTTACAAATGACTTAGTTAAGAATGTAGGTGAGACAATAAGAAGTGAGAGAAATCTACTCCTTGAAAGGGAAATTTACTCCTGGAAAAGTCATCATCATGGGGAAAAGGTATCCTCATTGAAGCTTTATCACCAATCCTTGTCTCCACAACAAGTGAAAATTTCCAAAATCCAATTAATACAGGGACTGAAAGCAAGGTGAAATATTCTGAACAGGGACACAGACAGCAATACAAACATTACGGAGGTGTTAACCCTTCTCTGTGCTATCCAAAGACACACACACACACAGAGACTGAAGTTACACTTAAAAATGCACCTGTTCCTACTTACAAACAAATTCAATTTAAGAACAAGCCTTCAGAACCTATGTTATTCATAACTTGGGGACTGCCTGTAATTCCTTCCTCAGCTGTTATCCCTGACAGAGACGCAGAAGATGAAATACTTTCAAAGAGTGAAAATGAGAACTATGCCTAAAGCTGTAAACATGCATAATTCTGCTTTACTAGACAGAGGTTAAAGAATTTGGCCCCACTGGAAGAATTCTGCAGTGACGAGGCTATGATCTGTCGCCACTATCAATCAAATGTAATAAGAAATCACTTGGAATTCTTCTTTTTCAGGACATTAACCTCCCCAAACTCCAGAGCTTTGACTAATTGAAAACAAAACCAAAATGCCTACCAACATATTGGGCTCAGTCACACAGAGATTACATTATGGGTTGCCTTTTTAGAAAAGCTCTCCCTTTATTTAAGAAGATAGGAGGGAGAGAGAAAAGTAGCAAAGGATTTCAGTTAAACTCTTTCTCAGGCTGGATCTACAATGCTTTATAATGCCATTTGAAGTGCATTACATGGTCAGTGTTGGCCCATATAATGCAGCCCAATGCAGTTCAAACTGCATTATATGGGTCTACACCAACCATGTAATACAGTTCAAATGGCATTATATGGCAGTGTAGATCCAGCTCAGTCTTTGACAAAAAGGAGAAGCACATGTTAGTGCTCCACTAAAATCTTTGGAATTATAGAATCATAGAGTTGGAAGAGACCTCGTGTGCCATCCAGTCCAACCTCCTGCCAAGAAGCAAGAAAATTGCATTGAAAGCACTCCTGATAGAATTTAAGTTCATTTCGCCACCTAAAAATATTGGAAACTGATCTGCAGGAAAGAGGGGCTGAAAATAAGCAACAAACAAACAAATATAAGCAGGGAACTTGGGATTTGGTTCAAAATTATCCTGTGGAAATCAAAATCTGTGGATGCTCAAGCCCATCTATCTATCTATATATATAAATGCTCTGTGCAAAATGAGTACCTTAAAAACAAAAGAACCAATGAACAAAATTTGGCAACAAAACGTCTCACTACACAAGGAGTGACCATCACTCAAAAAATTATGATTTTGTCATTTGGGAATTGTAGTTGCTGGGATTTATAGTTCATCTATAATCAAAGAGCATTCTGAATTCCACCAACGATGGAATTGAACCAAACTTGGCACACAGGACTCCCCTGACCAACAGAAAACACGAGAATGGTTTGGTGGGCATTGACCTTGGGTTTTGAAGTTGTAGTTCACCTACATCTAGAGAGCACTGTGGACTCAAACAATGATGGATCTGGACCAAACTTGACACGAATACTCAATATGCCCAAATATAAACACAGATGGAGTTTGGGGGAAATAGACCTTGACATTTGGGAGTTGTAGTTACTGGGATTTATAGTTCACCTACAATCAAGGAGCATTCCGAATCCCACCACTGACAGAATTGGGGCAAACTTCCCACACAGAACCCTCATGACCAACAAAAAATACTGTGTTTTCTGGTGGTCTTTGGTGACCCTTCGCACCCCCTCGTAACCCCTCCCCCAGGGTTCCCAAACCCCAGGTTGAGAAATGCTGCCTTAAGGTCACTTAGTCCAACTTCCTTCGCCATAGCAAGAAAACATAAAGCCCTCCTGACAAAGAGCCATCAAGCTATAGGTATAGCTAAATATATATCATTCACACACACATATGTTTATGACAGATATAGTACCACCTYCCTGGTGACCCCTCCCCCCCGGATCTTGACTTCCCAGGTTGAGAAATGCTGCCTTAAGGCCATCCAGTCCAACTCCTTTCACCAGGGCAAGAAAACATAATCAAAGCCCTCCTGACAAAGGGCCATCCAGCCATTCACACACACACACACACACACACAYATATGTATATGACAGGTGCAGTATCAAAGATTTGAAAGGGACCCCTAAAGAAGGACAATGATATGTTGCGTGTTCCAGAGTAGGCAAACCAGACACTCTCCACATCAACACTGACAAATAAACAGCAAGAAATACTATTTACCCACAAGCATAAAGATATTACATATACTAGAAACCAACACTTTCTCATTACTTTATTTTCCAGATCACCAGACTGGGCCACAGCAACACGTGGCAGGGGACCGCTAGTGTGTGTATGCATGTGTATATATATATATATATGGAAAATGGTATCCCTTATATAAAATGGCAAAATCAAGGTCTGCTTTGGGGTTTGAAAAAATATTTTCAAGCTGTGAATGGTTCAATCTGTGGATGAAGATTCTGTGGATACAGGGCACTTACTGCACTATGAGTAGCTTGAGTTTCATTTCTCATTTTTCTACAGCACTTATAGTGACAAACTACGATTCAGGTTAAAACTTTCAATATGTACACAAAAAAACCTATTATTATAATTATTACCAATGTGCGGTATAAAAATGCTGTTGATATGGCTGCTGCTGTTGTTGAGGATGGTACTAACAACAAAAATAGCACTAATAATAGGAGACGGAAAGCTTTAGACATATGGCAGTGGGTGGCAAAGCACTGGCTTTTAGAGGCTGCTTTTTCCTTCAAGAAGGTTGGAGGCGTTTAATCTTGTAGCGTTTCCAACCAAGCTGAGGTAATATTCCTCAAGGAACAGCAAAGCAGGAGATTAGGACGGGGTGGGGGTGATAGATGTCACGGCTACAATTTGTCCAGTATGAAGGGAGGCAAGGCTTGGTCAGAAAAAACCTGCAAGGAATTTTAATGCTAGAGCATTTGAGGTCTGGCGGCCTACGGGGAAAACAAGC